GAAGTCATTATTGTTTCATGTTTCAACTCATGAAGATAATTAGTCAGTAGTTTCTTTGCTTGCGTATTCATATCCTGTGACAATATGATTTTGAAATTTAGTCAGTTCGTCTAAAACTGAGTTCAGTTTATCGACGTAATCGGTTTTGTTGGTTGGAACTAGTCCTCCCACATGAATAATTAATATATATATATTAAGTAGGAAAATTGTATTCCTGACGTTTCATGGCATAATGCAAGCCACTACTTTCGAGAAAACAAATAACCGAAATAAATTAATATAAGCCAAAATAGTACAAATGAAACAATGTAGAATACTTTTAGTACAATCTAAAACATACTTGGTCTGAATATGTCAGTGTGAAGTTATTCTTGGTTAAGGTGAATTCGTATGACCTGCCACTGCATTAATTTCTTTTACAGAATACCGGTAAGAAAAATGTATGACTTTGTAATATGACGTACTAGGGTTGAAATTAGGTGTGTGTGTTTATGTAGATTGTGTGGAAAATAAATAAGATCAGATGTGGTTGTTTAGATAAACGGTTCAGGTTGCATGAATATTCAACCCTTCTTTCCTATCGTGGACATAGGAATTTAGCAGTACGTGAAGCTCTTCGGCTACTCGCCTCTCTTTATAGTTGGAAAAACATTTCTGAAATATTTTAATTTTTTTAATATCAATTTGGTGATTATTGAATGTAGCATATACTGATATTGTGGATTTACCCTGTAAATTTTCCGATTTCACGGAACTGTTTGGTCATTTTGTGTAGCTTAAACGTTCCTCGGCATGGATCGAGATCTTCGCAGTAATGCAAAAACACAGTACCAATCCAAGATCTTTCTTTAGGATTATTATCTATAGAGGGACAGTTTTGTTTTAATATGTTTTAAATAATATATTTAGGGAAATTATTAAGTCGTAAATTGTCTATCATATTCTCTTTTTCTTTATATGTCTCTTTCTGAAATAATGATCATGTTTGCTCTTCTGAAAAACTTGAGGGCTAGGTAAATTTTCGCACTGAATGGATGTGCATATTTAAAATCGATATACCGATTTAAATGTGTCGGTTCTCGGTACATGGTTAGATTAAGATAACCATTAGAGTTCATTATAACTAAAGAGTTTGAGAAAGGTATTTCACTATGTTCATCTTCCTATTCAAAAGTAGATCGTCCGGAACCTGAGACCTCTACACAACTTATTTTTTAACAGAAACGATAAATAATTTCATATTTATAAAGCAAATATTAATATACTTGTAATATGTTAGTGTGTTGGTAATAGCTCACCATTTGATGACGAGAACTATACCTTAATTCAACCAATCCATGATATTGCCTAACCGTCTTCCATTGTCTTCGGTGAGTAACTGCCCCACACCTAACATAGTTGAACTCCATTATGAATACGATTGTACAAATTGAGTAAATGATATTATCAAAACATAAATTTTCTTTGCTGAATTGTTTAAATTTCTATTGAGATTATTATATAATATGAAATCAGTCAATCAGTTTTTGAATTTTGTGCAAAAAGCGATGTTTATTCTTCTCATTCTTATTTGATCATCTCTGATACTATGTTTGTAACTAAAGGTGGATGAGAACCTACTCGACACTTACAAATCTATATATAATACTTCAACTTATTATTTATTCATTATATAATATTAAACTAACATATAAATTAATGGATCTAATGCCTTATAAGATATGTATAGACAATTTCTTTGAATCACATAATTCAAAGTTCCTTTGTTAACTAATACAACCAATAGTGTTATCACCGTTTAAACTGATCAAAATTATTGTTTTATAATGATGGGAATCTTTATATTTAATTGGATTTTGAATGTAACACTTGTAACCTTTCTGTTAGGCATCTAAATTTTAGATTTCAAATCAACAATTATTTCTATAACAAAGGTGTTAGATATGGAGCTTAGATTCTTGATACACCGCGTACCACCTGAGCACTCGAGTGCTAGAATTCTTCAAATTTCAAATGAGAAAGGAGAAGACAAGTGAGAAGGAATGTTATTCCAAACAGTGTCATTATGGTACAAAACTCTCAGGTACTTATAGTTTTTAGTTAAATCAAAATCATCGTCATGGTTATCCAATAGCGAAGCTACACGTCGAAATTCTGGAATGTTTTTCCGAAAGATGATTGGTTGGAAAATCTTCGTCTCTTTATGGGCTTCTTAGAGATTCCTCGAGTTCATCACAAAAAGCAACCCATGGTCTAATTGAAAAGGAATTAAGACATTTTATTTCTATTTCAAGATGATTTTACCTCTTTTAATAGATTTAGTGGGATGATTACAATAGACTTACCTTGTACTAATAAAGTATTCTGAAATTTATCTGTATATGCATGTGAAAATATTCTGTTATGTTTTCATTTTTTTAATTTACACACAAAAGACAGTCCTCGAAGATAGAATTTAGAAATAAATGTTGGGTATTTTACCAGTGATTTCCAAAGATTATCTAAGTCGAATGGTGAAAAATCGTGTTGTTTCTGATGATGTTAGGCCTAGGATACTTGAAGGATATTTAACTGGTTAACGAAACTTCAAGCTACCACCGAGTTGAACAATCGGACGAAATATCATCAACACCCAGATATCAGTTGTTTCAGTTTAACAATGTGGTTAGCATAGAAGTGCATCGAGAAAAAGTAGGAAATTGGCTGTCAACGTGATAAAACCATTTAATTATAAAATTAGCTGTAATGGGAAACGAATACATGTTAGTTCACATGAAAATTATAGACTGTAACTGCCTCAAAGGATCTGAATTCGGATCGATTGGCGCAGTTTCATAAAATCTAAAAACATTGTTGATTTATGTACTCCAATCAGTTGAACCGGGACCTATTATTATCGATAACGGATTTGAAAACATTTATTTATGCAAGCATTTTAATTAATTTTTCGATTTAGACCTATTTCGCAAACGTATTCCCTGACCGATATATATATATATATATATATATATATTTATATATAATCAGTTGATATACGTATGCATCATCCATTCTGTGACTCGTTAACTGATCATATTTATTGTTTACACTAAGCGAATCAGACTCTTCACTTACCCTAAACACGTTGATAGAATCATATTAAAAATGTACCATTACAACCCAAACTCCACTTTCACCACAATTCAGTGAGTGAAATGGACAATGAAAACACTAAATAGATTTCATGCTACGATTCGGATTAATCAGTGTTCAAAGTAAATTACTATACATGAGTCACTTTTACCTAACCACTCATACTGTAGTGTATGCTACTTATGTCGACAGATATAACGAGTATGTAACAACAATCAAAAGTTGAATGGCCGGCAGCAGAAAGGGAAATAGAAAGGAATTATGAATTGGAATAATCAGATAGAATGTAAAGGACAAGTGAAGCATTTAATGTATGGTTCCATAATTTACCAAAATAATCTGTAACTTTGTATGAAATAATGAATAGGTTGTCCCCACCCAACTCTTCGTTCATTACAATCAGTCATATCATAGAAATTAACAAATCCCTACAGTGTTCTCATTTTCCTCATTATCAGATTGAAATGCATCCTTTCAAGTATGAAGGCAGAGAAAATCAAAATTCACTGAAGCTATTGAGAACATCTTTTCTCACCTCTTTTCAACTCACCAAACACTGCAGATTGAGCGGTTCATAACACTTAAATTTTCGAAAACAAGTAGTCAATTCGACATATTTATGTTTTATTTATTTCTTGACCCGAATTAATATGCAGTGATTATGTAACTGCGTGTACATAATCGCATCTTAACAACAACTGTCAATTTCTTTTCAATTGCGGATTAGATTCAACAACTTGACGCCAAAATTAATTTTCGTGTTATTTCATGCTGTAGTTTATTTTGAAAATTCTTGTCTATTCGGGTTTGTACGAAGACAAAACAAACTTTTTAATGTTTTACTTATAGTCCAGAACTCTGTTGAAAGGGATACCGGAAAACCTTTAGTGTTGTTTCAATGCAGATAAAAAATTTATTAGAAAATACCACTTAAACATCTACGTCTTAGACAAATGATTTTCATAATGATGTTGATTAATATTGAGTGGTTTGTAATATGACGATACGCTAAGAGTTGTATTCTCTTTCAAAGTATATAAAAGTTTGACATTCACTTAATGTCTATGTTGCCAGAAAGTGTATGATATTTAGGTATATCTCATTAATTTCAAGAAAAAGACTCATCATAGAATGACAAACACTGTTCAACAGACATCTAAACATCAGTTCGCATCATGCCACTAACAATATCAACATAAGCACAACTGAATAGAAAATCTATAGAATTCTATTAATCTAGTTTAGCCAATTGGAGTTAAAAAGATTGTTGTATCTTATCTTATTTTCCCAGACTACTCATTTTCTAATTAAGTAATATCTTTTAGAAATCTATTATTTTCATGTGATTTTCATTTCCAACTGACTTATTGTACAGTTGCCTTCACGAGATAAATTGATAGTGAAGCACATCTTGGTCAGTTATAAACCTAACAATCAATATCATTTATCACTTCTGTGTGATACAAATTCGTACTGAAATAGATGATTATTAAATGTTTGAGAATAAAATTATGGATCAAATTTGTTTTCAGATTAAATCACGAAACGATTGTATGTTATATGTAATGTACAAAAAATCACTTTCATTTGGAAATGGACTGTATGAAACGACCTATAGTATCCTTTTTTGAACTGAACACTTCGTTTGTAAGTACATTTCTGTAATATTTCAACTCCTTGAAATGCCCACCACATCACAAAAGCATTAAAGAAGATTGGATATATTTTAGGCGACGGTTATTGCAATAAAACTTATCACAGTTAATGAATGAAAATATTTATCAGATTGTAGTACTTTTTTATCAAAAAAAGGTTTTACCATGATGGCGATATAAAAAAATGAATCATATCAATTAGTCATTTTAAAATTATAACTCTGCTCTAATATTTTGTTTTAATTTATAACAATCAGTACTGGATAATGTATATCCAGTATAACAAAGTTTAGGAGAATGTGGCGCAGCTTCAGTATGAACAGAATTTGGTAATTCCTGAACGGATAAATTATCATTCGTTTGAGTGGAAGTAGGATGTTCAATTATATTCTCATGAAATGATAATTCTTCATCATCCTCTATAGGCTTGTGAAATAAACTGGACACAGTACAATCAAGTAACGGGGAAGGTATTGTTTTCGACGGCTGAATATGACTTTCTAAATTGGTTTCATGAGACGTTGCAGTTTGTTTAGGGGAACTCATGGTTGAATATGATACTGATGGAGATCGCAGGAACTCCTAAGAGTAAATAAAAGAAATATAGTTAATATAATTAACATAAAACATGCAAAAAACGTACGAATTATAACGCTAAGTAGGATCGAAAAAGGAAAATAGGCCGTAACCTTCATTCATCTTCACTAAAAGATAATTTTAATTCTTGATACTCTTCAATTCGGAATCCTATTCTGAGCTGATAAATTGTCAAATTGAATACGTCACTATACAACTAATAGAATTTATTTCTTTAGTTTTGATAAAGAATACATTTTTATAATCGGAGATGATGGTGGCCAGTAGTGAAATTCGGGACCTGCGTTTCATCCTGTTTGTGACTCGTCAGCTGAAGGTACCTGCATCTGAGTTGATGTTCACCCAATGACTCGAACGCAGTTCCATTTGCTTCAAACGTCTTCGCTTATCCACCTGGCTACTGAGTCCAGATAGCAACTAGCTTGTGTAATAAGGTGAAGTGAACGGTAATTAGTTCGAGTCCCAGAGTGAACATTAACTCGGATGCAGGTACATCTAGCTGACGAGTCCTTAATGGGAAGGAACGTGCGTCCCATATTTCACTGCTACCCACCATCGTCTATGCTCATAATGCTTGTGACTGAAGGTAGTATCGATGCAATCCTTACAGGACGTACATAATTCAATAGGAGACTGATCAATTGCAGTCCTAAACATCAATAGAAAAATTCAAGCAACCAATGCAAAATGAACAACAACCTAAGATTTTTTGGTAAACATTGTATCATTAAATGATTCAGTCAGAGCACGATTATCTACATATCCAGGTTCCGTGAAATCACCGTGTGACTCAAATATCTCCTAATATCATATCTGCTAGGGTTGAAGCTATCACGAGTACACTTAATCTGCGAACGAGAAACAAGACTAGGTGATCAAAGACCAGTAACCTAGCTACTGATGCGTCCCAGACGCGTTAACTAGAGTGAGAAGTCCAAGCTTGGAATGGGGAGGTATATTCTGCAAACAACCAGAAACGAGCGATAACAACAAACACAATGCAAACGTACATATACAGTACAAAACCGTCCCTGGAGAGAGTTACCAAATAGCATACTAAAAGACGCAACGGACCAATAGCATTTAAGATATTTCCCAGTGGGAAATACGACATGAAGGTGACAAGAGCGCTATCGGCGCGAAAACAAGGAACTTCAAATTTTCTAAATAAAATTACAAAATTAGATCCTTTCCCAAGTGAGTTCTGAGGATCTAACGTCCCCAACAATATCTGAGTTACTTTTTCACTTTCTAATCTATTAACACCATAATCCGTTACTTTTCACTAGATTATAAACATGACTACTTTTGCATCAAATACATTTTAAAACACAATCGGAAATTCAATTCATGTGCAAGTCGAACACATTTGTAGGCATTGTAATGAATATGCCTTGAATAGGTTTGTAAATTAAATAGATAAATAACATTAATTAGTGTAGTATACATTATTGAACAGTGGGAAACAATATTATACTTGAGAATCATATCACACCTTGGGATAAAAGAGAAATGCAGGTTTAGGTATTATTTATAGAAATAAATAAATAAGAATGAGTACTAGATTAAGTGACTTTTTATGTGTCAAAAGGAGCTCTGCTTAATTTATGCTTCGAAAACATCATGAAGATGAGGATTCTTGGGAAATTAACATTGAACTATAAACAGATTTCTACAATAAAGATTACTAAGATTTTTATCTGTGCTAAATACATCCAAGGTGGGCGAGAAATTCGCACTTTTATAGAGTTTAGTTTATCATAAATGAATTTATAATTAAAGATTTCTACAATGCTTCCGGATTTCCAGTGGTCAAGAAAATAACTATTTACACATTCAATAAACTTTCATCAACCTTTTAAACAAGGTTATCAATACATTTGAAATGTCACATAGCTTATCAAAAAAAGGAATAATACCTCAGTAATGTCGAGTGACAGCGTTTGCTCTAACCACAGCTCCCTAAAATAAACAGACCGTAGTTTTAGAATTGATAATTTACAAAGTCTATTCGTAAGAGTTAATACTTTAGTTATATATTACGTAACACAAAGAGTTACACCAGTTATCTAAGTACATTTACTCATAAAATGTATGCGTCTTACATGATGTGCACATTAAAACACTAATACAGGCTATAAATTTAAAAAAGCTATTTATTTTTCTATTTGTTATTCAGAGAAAAACGGACAACAAAAGGTTGAATTGAATTCATATCGACTAGTTTTTGTTTTCACAAATACTCTTTAATACAGTTATGATGCTAAAATATTTCATCAGATGAGTGTTACCTATTGTTTGAAACATCGCTAACTGATCGTTTCACTTTTTGAGAATTATGAATTATGAATTGGAATAATCAGATAGAATGTAAAGGACAAGTGAAGCATTTAATGTATGGTTCCATAATTTACCAAAATAATCTGTAACTTTGTATGAAATAATGAATAGGTTGTCCCCACCCAACTCTTCGTTCATTACAATCAGTCATATCATAGAAATTAACAAATCCCTACAGTGTTCTCATTTTCCTCATTATCAGATTGAAATGCATCCTTTCAAGTATGAAGGCAGAGAAAATCAAAATTCACTGAAGCTATTGAGAACATCTTTTCTCACCTCTTTTCAACTCACCAAACACTGCAGATTGAGCGGTTCATAACACTTAAATTTTCGAAAACAAGTAGTCAATTCGACATATTTATGTTTTATTTATTTCTTGACCCGAATTAATATGCAGTGATTATGTAACTGCGTGTACATAATCGCATCTTAACAACAACTGTCAATTTCTTTTCAATTGCGGATTAGATTCAACAACTTGACGCCAAAATTAATTTTCGTGTTATTTCATGCTGTAGTTTATTTTGAAAATTCTTGTCTATTCGGGTTTGTACGAAGACAAAACAAACTTTTTAATGTTTTACTTATAGTCCAGAACTCTGTTGAAAGGGATACCGGAAAACCTTTAGTGTTGTTTCAATGCAGATAAAAAATTTATTAGAAAATACCACTTAAACATCTACGTCTTAGACAAATGATTTTCATAATGATGTTGATTAATATTGAGTGGTTTGTAATATGACGATACGCTAAGAGTTGTATTCTCTTTCAAAGTATATAAAAGTTTGACATTCACTTAATGTCTATGTTGCCAGAAAGTGTATGATATTTAGGTATATCTCATTAATTTCAAGAAAAAGACTCATCATAGAATGACAAACACTGTTCAACAGACATCTAAACATCAGTTCGCATCATGCCACTAACAATATCAACATAGGCACAACTGAATAGAAAATCTATAGAATTCTATTAATCTAGTTTAGCCAATTGGAGTTAAAAAGATTGTTGTATCTTATCTTATTTTCCCAGACTACTCATTTTCTAATTAAGTAATATCTTTTAGAAATCTATTATTTTCATGTGATTTTCATTTCCAACTGACTTATTGTACAGTTGCCTTCACGAGATAAATTGATAGTGAAGCACATCTTGGTCAGTTATAAACCTAACAATCAATATCATTTATCACTTCTGTGTGATACAAATTCGTACTGAAATAGATGATTATTAAATGTTTGAGAATAAAATTATGGATCAAATTTGTTTTCAGATTAAATCACGAAACGATTGTATGTTATATGTAATGTACAAAAAATCACTTTCATTTGGAAATGGACTGTATGAAACGACCTATAGTATCCTTTTTTGAACTGAACACTTCGTTTGTAAGTACATTTCTGTAATATTTCAACTCCTTGAAATGCCCACCACATCACAAAAGCATTAAAGAAGATTGGATATATTTTAGGCGACGGTTATTGCAATAAAACTTATCACAGTTAATGAATGAAAATATTTATCAGATTGTAGTACTTTTTTATCAAAAAAAGGTTTTACCATGATGGCGATATAAAAAAATGAATCATATCAATTAGTCATTTTAAAATTATAACTCTGCTCTAATATTTTGTTTTAATTTATAACAATCAGTACTGGATAATGTATATCCAGTATAACAAAGTTTAGGAGAATGTGGCGCAGCTTCAGTATGAACAGAATTTGGTAATTCCTGAACGGATAAATTATCATTCGTTTGAGTGGAAGTAGGATGTTCAATTATATTCTCATGAAATGATAATTCTTCATCATCCTCTATATGCTTGTGAAATAAACTGGACACAGTACAATCAAGTAACGGGGAAGGTATTGTTTTCGACGGCTGAATATGACTTTCTAAATTGGTTTCATGAGACGTTGCAGTTTGTTTAGGGGAACTCATGGTTGAATATGATACTGATGGAGATCGCAGGAACTCCTAAGAGTAAATAAAAGAAATATAGTTAATATAATTAACATAAAACATACAAAAAACGTACGAATTATAACGCTAAGTAGGATCGAAAAAGGAAAATAGGCCGTAACCTTCATTCATCTTCACTAAAAGATAATTTTAATTCTTGATACTCTTCAATTCGGAATCCTATTCTGAGCTGATAAATTGTCAAATTGAATACGTCACTATACAACTAATAGAATTTATTTCTTTAGTTTTGATAAAGAATACATTTTTATAATCGGAGATGATGGTGGCCAGTAGTGAAATTCGGGACCTGCGTTTCATCCTGTTTGTGACTCGTCAGCTGAAGGTACCTGCATCTGAGTTGATGTTCACCCAATGACTCGAACGCAGTTCCATTTGCTTCAAACGTCTTCGCTTATCCACCTGGCTACTGAGTCCAGATAGCAACTAGCTTGTGTAATAAGGTGAAGTGAACGGTAATTAGTTCGAGTCCCAGAGTGAACATTAACTCGGATGCAGGTACATCTAGCTGACGAGTCCTTAATGGGAAGGAACGTGCGTCCCATATTTCACTGCTACCCACCATCGTCTATGCTCATAATGCTTGTGACTGAAGGTAGTATCGATGCAATCCTTACAGGACGTACATAATTCAATAGGAGACTGATCAATTGCAGTCCTAAACATCAATAGAAAAATTCAAGCAACCAATGCAAAATGAACAACAACCTAAGATTTTTTGGTAAACATTGTATCATTAAATGATTCAGTCAGAGCACGATTATCTACATATCCAGGTTCCGTGAAATCACCGTGTGACTCAAATATCTCCTAATATCATATCTGCTAGGGTTGAAGCTATCACGAGTACACTTAATCTGCGAACGAGAAACAAGACTAGGTGATCAAAGACCAGTAACCTAGCTACTGATGCGTCCCAGACGCGTTAACTAGAGTGAGAAGTCCAAGCTTGGAATGGGGAGGTATATTCTGCAAACAACCAGAAACGAGCGATAACAACAAACACAATGCAAACGTACATATACAGTACAAAACCGTCCCTGGAGAGAGTTACCAAATAGCATACTAAAAGACGCAACGGACCAATAGCATTTAAGATATTTCCCAGTGGGAAATACGACATGAAGGTGACAAGAGCGCTATCGGCGCGAAAACAAGGAACTTCAAATTTTCTAAATAAAATTACAAAATTAGATCCTTTCCCAAGTGAGTTCTGAGGATCTAACGTCCCCAACAATATCTGAGTTACTTTTTCACTTTCTAATCTATTAACACCATAATCCGTTACTTTTCACTAGATTATAAACATGACTACTTTTGCATCAAATACATTTTAAAACACAATCGGAAATTCAATTCATGTGCAAGTCGAACACATTTGTAGGCATTGTAATGAATATGCCTTGAATAGGTTTGTAAATTAAATAGATAAATAACATTAATTAGTGTAGTATACATTATTGAACAGTGGGAAACAATATTATACTTGAGAATCATATCACACCTTGGGATAAAAGAGAAATGCAGGTTTAGGTATTATTTATAGAAATAAATAAATAAGAATGAGTACTAGATTAAGTGACTTTTTATGTGTCAAAAGGAGCTCTGCTTAATTTATGCTTCGAAAACATCATGAAGATGAGGATTCTTGGGAAATTAACATTGAACTATAAACAGATTTCTACAATAAAGATTACTAAGATTTTTATCTGTGCTAAATACATCCAAGGTGGGCGAGAAATTCGCACTTTTATAGAGTTTAGTTTATCATAAATGAATTTATAATTAAAGATTTCTACAATGCTTCCGGATTTCCAGTGGTCAAGAAAATAACTATTTACACATTCAATAAACTTTCATCAACCTTTTAAACAAGGTTATCAATACATTTGAAATGTCACATAGCTTATCAAAAAAAGGAATAATACCTCAGTAATGTCGAGTGACAGCGTTTGCTCTAACCACAGCTCCCTAAAATAAACAGACCGTAGTTTTAGAATTGATAATTTACAAAGTCTATTCGTAAGAGTTAATACTTTAGTTATATATTACGTAACACAAAGAGTTACACCAGTTATCTAAGTACATTTACTCATAAAATGTATGCGTCTTACATGATGTGCACATTAAAACACTAATACAGGCTATAAATTTAAAAAAGCTATTTATTTTTCTATTTGTTATTCAGAGAAAAACGGACAACAAAAGGTTGAATTGAATTCATATCGACTAGTTTTTGTTTTCACAAATACTCTTTAATACAGTTATGATGCTAAAATATTTCATCAGATGAGTGTTAACTATTGTTTGAAACATCGCTAACTGATCGTTTCACTTTTTGAGAAATATGTCAAGACAAAATATAATTTATTTATTGAGATGAATAAATACAATTATATTATTTATTCTATTGTTATGCATAATATGTATTCATATGGTGAACTTCAGAATTGTTTTCCATTAAGCAAATATAAATAGTGGCTAACAGTGGAATCCATGACTGATGTTTCGGTCTATTTCAGACTCATCAGCTGGATGTACTTGATTAAAAATCTTGTAACTTGAGGCTATATTGAGGCAATCCGCACATGATACATATATGCCAATAAGAGACTGATCAATTTCAGTCCTAAATAACAATGGGAAGATACAATTAAAACTAAAACAACTGAATTGTTTTCTATTGTTTATTCTAACACTTACTGTTAAGCATTTAGATAGAACTAAAAGTTGATTTTGGATTATCTAAAATACATTTTATTAAATTAAATGAAACAATCACAAAACACTGCTGTTTATTTAGTAAAAATTGTAGTTAGTGTTTGACTGAATTGATTATAATGAATCAAGTTTAACTATTTAAATATACAAACCATGATTATCTAAGAATAAAAAATAATAAAAGAAATCTGACAAAATATAAATGTAATAAATAGTATGGAACATATTCTTTATCAATCTATTCAATTTACCAAAAAATAGTCTTCTTATTTCATTACATTTCATTACAATTAAGTACATGTAACCAAACGGTACTATTCAATTATCTCATGCCCTCAATGAAATGAATCAATCGAAAATAATGTATTCTAATATGTAAATAATCGTGACATCAATCAGTTGAGAAGTTAGTAATAAATAGGTAATGTATTGTGTGATACTGATATCGACAGATATCGAAAGTGAAATACCTGGCGGCAGAATATTTGGAAAACCGAAGAGAACAGTACGAGAACTGAGAGTGATTGGTTTGGAAACGAAGGAATAACAAAGTCTGAGATAATTGATGGATATTTTGTAAATGAAGTATTTACCAAGATATTCTGCAATGTTGTATTGCCAGAAATAAGGACGTGTTGCCTTTTTATCTACAATGAATTGTTAAATATCGGTTCAACAAAAATATATCTATTATGAAAGCAGAATTGGCTAACAAATCCAAAATAGGATGAAACGCGCGTCCTGGATTCCACTGCTAGCCATGATCCATCTTTGCTTATAATGCTTGTGAATTAAAACAATATCAAGGCAGTAAGCAATGTATGCACATCAATCAAAAGTTCCAAGTAAACAACACCAAGTGAATTTAGATTTATTTCTCCTTCTAAAAAGTCATTTAGATCTCTGATATAAATTAACTGATCGAAAATAAATTGGGTAAAAGATTTTAAGATAATCGAATTCATTCGATGCAAAGTCAACAAAGAAACTGTAACAAATAAATAAAGATGATGATAAAATGGGTGACAAAATTCAATCATTTTCTTCTATTGTTATTTGATTTATTGAAAGAAATAATCCATTGAAATCAATGAAGGTATTCATTTTTTTTGAAATAATAAGTTCAATTGAATATGACAGTCTTAGTCAAGTGTCACATTGCAAAGAATGATAAAATTATTCTAATGAAATGTGAAAACTTAACTTGACTAAAATGACTTTTGTATTTCAGACAGTAAATATACTTAATAAATGATTCAAATTCCCTTAATTAAAATGTAACTCAGTAACTACAAGGTTGTATGGTATTGGAGTAATAGTAGTTATCAAGTGCTATGTGATTTTTATTTGTTTTTTGTATAAATTCAATCAATGATTCAGACCATCTTCACAAAAAACAATTTTTTAGAAACTTCTCTTATAATCAAGAGTGTAAATATCTAGTTATGGCGTTTTGCTAATTAAATAATACAGCATTGTTCATTACATCCTAGAGAACTTGTTCTATTGAATACATTCGACTGACTGACTAACTACCCTGTTGTGGTTAGCGGTATGGTAGATTTGAATTATTAGAAATCAGTTAACTGAAAACAATGATTGAGTATCTATTATTTATTGTGTTTATGATTAAAGTCTGTATGGGACTTTGGTGGCCCGATATCTCCATTTAAATCGTATTATGATTGTTATTGAAATATACACATCGCCAATCCTCGAATATAATTATCGGCATATTCTGCGTTAGAGGATAACGAAATTAAATAAGTAAAATACGAGAAGAATTTCGAATACGTATACATTATACAATCGTTGATCCAGAAAAACGCAATCGGAGAAACGAAATGAAGAAAGCAAATATAGCAAAGAGAAGAGAGCGAAGCGAAATGACGCCCACTGAAGAAAGCATGTAAGCCAGCTCGATTTAATCAAGCATGAATCGATATTTATAACACGATAAAAATATGTTACAGATATGTGATGATTAAGATTTTAAAAAAAGCACATGTATACGCTTACATAAAAGCAGTCAAGGTGACAAGGTCAAAATATGGTTTAGGAAAAATGAATAGATTGGTCTATTCAGAAACTAGAATAACCCGTGTATGCTCGACATAGGGTCAGTCATCACAGGACTATGAAGAGAGTTTTAATGAGCTAACAATTATTTAAACACATTTTATCTAGTTGTACAATATAAAAGATGATACACTTAAGTGATATGTATTAAATGAACATTTTGATGGAGTTTTGTTCTCAGAGCTAGATGGTTTGGTCGTGTAACTTTCATCGACAAAAGAACAAAACTCCGTCAAAATGATCCACCTTAGCTACAAATCTTCTCTACCATCAAATGAAACATTTTTTTATTTCGTCCCATAACTAAGTAAACAAACATTTAGGATTATCTCAAGACTAAATAATATTTGTTTTTGTAATCGAAGATCATTAATGTTTGTCATTATTGTTATTAGTTTCTTCTATGAAACTAATTTCATGAGAAAAATAAAGGAAGAAGAGATAAAACATTTCACCATCTGTGTTTTCATCAAACTGAAATTATTCAATGAAGTCAACTGAATATTTCATTCATTCATTATTATTATCATCTTGAATATAGTTATGATGTTTCTTTTATTATATTCTACTTGTTTAAAGTTATCACTATTAACTCATAATCATTAGTTTATTTGTTTATCCGGATATTTGTTTGCTTATTTTTTTTAACTATTATTCGATTTGCTTCTTCCAAACAAGCGATCTTATTTATTTGATTGAGATTTGTTCTTTTTAAGATTTAATCATTCTTCAACTCAAGTTAATCTGTAATCTTTATAAACAATTTATCATGACAGATAAAAGTTATTCTTTTATGAATTGTGAACTTGGAAACAGTTTACCAGTGTTAATGATAAGAACATTTGACTCTTTAAGTTCATGAATATATACTATCATTATCACGAATTAAGACGTCACTATTAAAATAGTGTATTTCATATTCATGTGTTATGTATCACTCTCTACTGCCATATATGCACTCTGAGTGGATTATCTCAGGTTTTTTATTTTATCATAAGTTTTTACTAAGGCTAAGTAATGGCTAGAAAATAGAATTGAGGAAGCGTGTTGCACCAGTTTGTGATTAAATGCATTCAGTAGTTCAGTGAATAGCGAGTTTGAGTTTAAAGATAAAGTTACTGAGTCTATAACATTATATGAGTATCACTTTTGCAATGAAGAGATATTCAGTTAATTAGTGTTAAGCAGCATGGCATGCGCAACCTTGATTCAAAAGCTAGCCACTATCTAACGTGAAATAATAAATCGTATAGATTGACTTAAGAAGTAAATATTTTTCAGTCGTATCATTAATTAGTCGAATCAAACACTTTAATCACGTAAATTGTAGGCAGACGGATTACGATGTCCAAATAAAGATAAGTTTGGAAGGTATAAATGTTGTTTCAAATGATGTGCATAAAATGATAGTTCGGTACAATTTACAATCTACTAGATAAAACATTCAAGTTAGAGTCAACGAATTAAGACAGGTTTTAACTCCATAAAGTAGTTAATATAGAATAGGTTTGTAGAGATTGTTGACTTTTCAGTTCACATTCCAGATGGACTTTACATAAATAACCTGACATATGTTAGCAGTTATTATGTACTAATTAATGACTACTTTTGAGAAATATCCACAAAGTCTTTGTCAGAAATCGTGACCTGTAAATTCCGATCACGCTAAGGATGAGACAGAATTCATCGATAACAATAAATAGTGCCTGTATATCATGAACTAACTAAGTCCAAAATTGTTAACCATAAGAGAATAACAAAATCACTTGAAAAGTAACTGACTACGAAGTCCTGAATGATCATTAGTTCAATCCTGTATGAAGTCTTATGTCTACACTTCCGAAAAGTTCAATACAAAACATCATTGTCCTGACATCTGAACATCTAATCTGTCCGTAACAGAAAATACTTACAAAGCTTTCATCATATTACGAGTACATCATAATGACCATGTTAAACTATCATTACGTGTGTAAATATAAAAATTTGAACAGATTTATGAACAAATCATACCTTTTTAGTGGCCCGTTGATCGGACTTTAATCCCGAAAAATGAATGAATGTGTTAAAAACATGAATCTGCTGTTTAACTCCGTATATTATACCTAGATTAACACCGTTTGGGTGACGGCAGTAACATAAAGCAAATATGGCTTGCGTTTGTTGAATCTAATTGAAGGACTCGTTTATCCATATAAACATTCAGAATGAAAATCAGAATAGAAGCCAAGTGGATAAGGCAAGTGAGACAACCCATTTTAATAAAATGTGACTCATTGTTTATAACCATGCAAAATAAGCTAGAAACATGAGACGAATAGAGTAATCAATACATACACGCTCAAATAAAAACAGTCAGGGTAATAAGAGAATGATTGACAAAGTAAAAATACGACTTAAGAAGAACGAATAAACTGGTTTTTCTGGAAGTCAGAATAATCCATGTAGGCTTGACGTAGTACTAGACGATATATAATGATATATCCAACTTAAGTGTTGTAGTCAGCATGTGATTTAAAAATGGTTTAATAACATTTAATACCGTTGTATAGAACTGAAAAAGTAAGCTAAAATCAACTGAAAAACATGTTAAAAAGGTTACACTTTATGCATAGCTAAAACAACCATTTTATTTCATTAGTTTAAAGTGAATCATAGTGAGTGGAATAATCTTCTCAAGTTTTAACCTCTTCACCTCATTGAGAACGACATTGAAATTATAATATAAATCAAGTAAAGGAGGAAAAATGACGACTTATATAAATTGATGTTTTTAAGAACACAACACTACACGAAACTCATTTTTATACGTCTTCTTGTTGCCACACAACAAACAACAAACAATCACTTATCCCTGCCTTATAAAATAATTTAAAATCAATAAAATCAGAGAGGTCATTTTACTAATTAGATACATAAGATTAATAAAGGAAAAACCTGTAATTAGTTAATCTCCTAATACTAGTAATCATTGTAATGAGATTAATCTGTAGTTGATGAAATCTTAATATTTACTGTCCATCTAAGTGTACGATACAGTAAATAGGAATATTCAACTCCAAAGAATGGTCAAAACAATATTATTTAAGTAAAGATGTAATCAATAAAAGTAATTTTATTAATGAGTGTTATCGGCAGGTGGGTTATTATTTTACGAGTTCCTTTAAGAAGTCAGAACCAGTGGAGTTCGACCGTGTCTTTTGTGAGGCAGTTACTCACGCATGACAATGGTCGACTGTCGCGTAATATCGTGGATTGGTTAAAGTTAGAAATTGACACCGTTGGATGCCGTCTCAATGGTTTAGAGGTTAAGCGTTTGCTCACAAGATTTAAAGTCCCTGGTTCGAGTTCTGAGTGCAGGATCGTGAATGCACACTGCTGAGGAGTCCCGTACTAGAATGAAACGGTCGTACACTGCTTCCAGGTCTTCAGTGGTGGTCTAGCTTTAATTGGCTCATGAATTCAGCTATCAGGTTACTTAAAAGCTACTTAAGTAAACGATAAAATATACTTACAATCATAAATAGTAGAGAGATACTAAAAATAACCATCGAAAGTGGTGACTAAATTTTACGCATAAGCTTCAAAGATGATTTGATCAACTGTACGAGTTGGATTATCGTATCGCATAAATGTTGATTGGAAGCGTGAATACGATCTAACAATCAATTTAAAACATTTAAAATGTAAATTAATATCTTCGTAGCATTTGATTAATTCTATTAACGAATAAGAAATAATAATTTTAATTATATGACAAGTTATACACACTTTGTGTTATTCTTATGATTAAGGAATAAATTTACCATTTCTATGTTGATTTTATTTTCCATAATGTTAATATGCTGGCTTACCGTTAAATACATTTAAGCCAGACATTTATTGAAAATAAACCATTTGCTTTAGTGATAGAGTCTTGGCCCTCACATAAATTTCACTGACTGAAATCATGAGTCGATTGAAGCTAGACCACCATGGAAAACCTGAAAGCACTGGACGGCCGTTTCGGCTTAATATGGGACTCCCCAGCAGTGCGCATCCACGATCCCGCACCCCACGAGACTCGAACCCAGGACCTATCAGTCTCACGCCAGGCACTTAACCAACTAGACCACTGAGCCGGCATCCAACGGTATTGATTTATATGCCTCTAAAAGTAGTATTTCTTTACTAGATAAATCATAAAACCCTATTCTGTCAAACAATCACAATATTATATGTAATCAAATTTAACGATCTGCATTCCTTCCTAACGATTTCTATTCTTTTCTAGAAGTGGACTATCAAGTAATATGAGTGTAAGTCTTAACACCAAACAAAAATCTGTCACTATGCATTCTCAATCAATTTATCATCTGCCTTACAAATTATTCAATTGATTTCAATCAGCCCTAATGACTAAACAATATGACATTCAATCATAATTTTATAACTCATTATTGTAAAACTGTGATTTGATTATTGCTAGTTAATTAAGAAAAAACTCTTATAAGTTTATCAGACTAATTACTAGATTAAACTAAATTTTCGAATATCTATTAGGTAACTATGAATTACACAGACTAAATATATTGATCTAGCTTTCAGTGTATATTACATTTCTGTGTAATATACCCATGATAGGTTAACCAATGTACATTGGCTTGTCTGTTCAATTAACAGATTAAAATTTCTTTCAAATTGGTTATTGAAAAATATTCTCATCAAATTACAGAACAATCAAACTAGATCATAAAAATTTCTTGTCTGAGAAACAATGTAATCAGATTATTTACGACTTACAGTAGATTGTGTACAAACTAGACAAAAGTTTAGTGTTTATCAAGTAAGTAAACTGCTTATTTGAAAAAGAAATCTAACGTATAATTCAATTTAGGTTTTAGTTACTACCTGTCAATATTTAATTGAAAAAAATATTTTGTTAATTATATACCTACCTTGACATGTTCTTCTTCAGAACATGGACTGGATGTATTGTCAGTGATTGGATCTCTGGATATGAAATATTGAGTTTGATTATCGGATATGATATTATCATGTATATTAGATTCTGAATTTGTCGGTTCATCATTTTCTGGATATGTATGCCAAACTAATTGTTTTAATTCAAAATAAAACGAAGAACGTAAAAACCGCTGATAAGAATCTTTATTCATTAATCCTTGAATAGTTTGTTGAGCTAAAATAAATGATTCATTAGTTGGATTTGTTATGCTAGCGATTGTTTGATTCCGAGTTTCTGAATCTAAATTAACCTTTAAAAAAAACATAGAGTATACAAACAGAAGTGTAAATGATCCAGTACATCGTTGTTGCTTTTTTAATGAACTGTATATTGAAATAAAAGAAGTTGTACGGATCTTCCTATGGTCATGAATTAACAGATTAATAACATACGTTTGATCAATAAGTAATATTTAAGTATTTCCAAAATGAAGTACTAGGTATTCCAATGTAGAGAACTTTCTGAGTGAACGGTCATATATGGTTTAAACTGAATTTAATCATTCCCTACATATAATGCAATAACTACTTACTAATCTTTTCTGTTACAATAAATTTCTATATATTCTTAAAAGGTTTGCTTAATTAATCCTATCATGACTGAAAAGTATTATAATTCAATAAATGAAGATCTTCTTAATCTTATATACTGAAGAAGTTGATCCAGATATTAAATATATATGAAGATTCATAATGATAGGAATATAATGGTTTAAACTTAAAGTTATATAGAATGATTGACTGATAATTACAAAATTTGTTATCGGTTACGTATATACATCTATAATAAAAGATACTTATGTTTGCCACCCGAAACATTGATCATTTATTCTGGCATCAACAAATGTTTGATCTTGATGAAAATATACTTTATAAATTGGAAGTACAGTGAAAGTAACTTATTATGACTAAACGGATCATAGAAACCAAATCATTAAATTGTTAATACAAGAATGGTCTGTGTTTAGTCAGTTTTATTTCAATTAATTACTTAAAGAAGACTGAAATCGATTTTCTAAGGTTTCACTTACACAATATTACCTTGTGTTTATTCTTTTGGTCAGAAAATATAGTAACTTACATGATAATTTACTTCACCTGAATTAACAGAACTTATATGACAGTCACTTATTGATTAAGATATACGTTGGGGTATTGATGTAATCGATGAATATTTAAATGATTAGAATATGAATATGTTTTTTAATAGTCGGTATTTACACTACTCACTATGATTTTATCAATATTCCGTGAAACTAGTTATGATAAGTAGATATTTACCATACTAGAAAATCACTCGCCATTGTAGCAGTGTAGCCTCTGAAGCAGTACTCCTCAACAAACACAAAGGCTAAACAAAGATCCTGAAGTAGAACACAGAGAATACCAACCCACTCACACTTGATGGAGAAGCTCTGAGAGAGATGGAAACTTTCACATACCTGATCAGCATCACAGATGAACAAGGAGGATCTGATGAAGACCTAAAGTCAGGCATTACCAAAGCAACGGTAACATTCCTACAACTGAAGTACATACAGAATCCCAAACAACTGTCAGTCAACATCGAAGTCAGAATCTTCAATACGAACGTCAAGACAGTTCTACTGTATGGAGTTGAAACTTGGAGGGCCACAACAACCATCATCAAAATAGTACAAGTATTTATAAACAATTTTCTACGCAAGGTACTAAATGTCCGTTGACCGGATACTATTAGCAACAGCCTACTGTGGGAGAAAACAAACAAACTTCTAGCTGAAGGGGTAATAAGGAAACGACGGCTGAAGTATTTCATTAGATCGAGTTTATAATGAATCCAACATTATGCTGTTTAAAATGTTCAAGAAAGTCAACCAATTACCGAAGTTCACAACTAATTCCCAAAGTGTTGTATTGAGATTTCTAGTAGTTTCAGAGAACTAACATAATCAAATACCTGAGTCATTTATAAAACAAATGTTTAGTAATATTAAGAAACTAAAAGTCTTATTATTCCTAGCTTTTTTTATTATAACCTTAAAACATATGAAACACATATTTTGACTTTTAAAACAAAATAAGTACACTGTGCTATTCGGTTGTGTTATTAAGGAACCTAAAACGTATTTTATGACAAGTCAATCAAAAACCACAACGAACCGGTATTTTCCATAGTCGTCACTAATGAAACACAACTGTTTTCATATTCATGTAATACTATTATTATTATTATTATTATTATTATTATTATTATTAGCTTTATTCAATATTATAATTTTGGTACAATATAGAATTCTCAGCGCAAAATATTTCAACAAGTTTCCGTTTCTTTCTTCTTGGTCGGTCCTGGCGATAAATATTGAGGAATTGCCTGTTAGATGTTAGCACTTCAGTGAATGAACAACTGAATAATGTACATTCTTTTCGTTGTACATTGCCAGCAACCATATTGTCTCTTATTGAGTTTTCTGTAACTTTGACAACGAAAGGTTGTACACTTTTCAGAAACGCAGCAGAATAGGTTATGCGATTAATAAACATAATGATATATTAAAACAAACAACAATAGATAACTTGTTGAAATATCTAGATGGCAGGAACAGGTAGCCCAGATGCTCAAGCAGGCCGCCCTTATAATACAAATAGTAAGATTAATTTTAGCTCACAATTTACCTCATGTGGTGAATGTGGCGCTAAATAAAGACGATAGATTCTTCGTGATTCTTCACCAAGATCTTCTTGTGGCAGATGTTTATACAATTCACAAATTAACCAAAACTCAATATTCTCTTCACTGTATTCTGATCTCAAAAAGTGATGAAATTGAGATAAACCATCTGTAAAATTAAATTATGCGTAAAATTACTAACTAATGAGTGAATTTAAAGAAAAAAATGGCATGTTTGTGATTTTATTCAGCATCAAAATCTATGAGTATTTGATGTTTAAAAAAAATTGAAAAGATATTTACTGTTCAAGTAGTGTCATTGACTATAACAATAAATGAAAAACTTAATAATACAGCTTTCTATTGTAATTCACTTTGTGAAATATAGATACTACTGCTAGAGGAAGCCACATACTTATTGTTATTATTGTAGAATAACAGTAAGATAGTCGTAAGTATACAATGAATCTTAAACGACCTCTAAATTTATCGCTTTTTGATAATATTCCATTCTTATTTGATCCTTTTGATGAAACACATAGGTTCTTGATATTCATTACATTTATTGGATAGTTGACGAGATTTATGACGGGGATTTTGTTATTTTTTATGTCTAAATTACAAAGGTAAGTTTAAGTTCTATTGGTTCTCAGTTGAGATTGAAATATTATATCTCAAAGAGTTGATACTGATGAATTACAATTATTTCAAGAATTTCAAAGAAATGACTTTGCTAAAGTTCATTGTTTATTGACACTGAAACTAGTTAGTGTATGAGCAGTTTTGTTCGAAGAAGATTAAATTATGGATGAATTCTGGCAACTATTTACGGACTGTTATTATGTATACATACTTTACATCATGGAATAACCTTGGTTAGACAACCAGTGAGAACCTGTAAGTAACTGATGGCTTTTTCATCTAAGTAAAGAATACCACAGTAATATTTATTGACGACCCTGCCAAAGATTAAATCCAGGATCTCTGTCTGATCTCCTTAATAATAACACGAAAACGTGAAACATTACATTTAAACTTTTATAAGAATACGTTTGTGTTGTATATCGATTTTAACTATGCGTAACAAATTATCTAATTTAAATGAATATTTTCAGGTATATTGAAAAGTACACAGTAATTAATCAAAAGAGCATTTTTCTACCTGTATCAGCTAAAAGCTTGTCAAATGATTGTTCCCATTGTTGTAGTTGACTTCTTGTTGGTACATTATGTTCATTAAGAACTGGAGACGCTTCATTAGGTGTTAAGAAATCAGAAGGAGATTTCTCTGAATGTTGACTTTCCACTTCAAAATTATCAAATCTGAAAGAATCAATCAGTTTTTCTATATGATGATCATTTACTATTGTAGGCGATGCGCTTTTACATTTACCTACTGGTCGTCTAAATGCATTAGAGAATGATCTTGGTAAAATATTCGTTATTAAATCATTCAGATGACGGATACTATAATTAGAAGAAATACAATATTAAAATAAATGTGTTGTTATATATTGTTAATAAATACTTTCGAATAAGTGTATTTTGTCAATCCATGATATGAACCAAAAAAATACTAAAAATCTGGGAAAAATTAGTCAATGATTCAGTTCTAGTATGAACTTAGTCAGTTGTACATGTACAAATATCTTCAAAGAATAAAACCTGACCACCATTGAAAAACTGGAAGCACTGGACGGCCGTTTTATCCTGTTGTGGGACTCCATAGCAGTGCGCATCTACGATCCCGCTCGCAGGATTTGAACTCAGGGCCTTCAGTTGCTCACGCAAACACTTAACCTACCAAACTACCGAGCCGGCATCCAATGGTGTTAATTTCTAACCTCAACCAGTCCACGAAATTGCGCGACCATCTTCCATTGTGGTCCATGGTGGTCTAAAATCAATCGGTTCATGATCTCAATCAAAAACTTAACAATCTCCATAACCCCTAAACTGATCATTATCATGTGCTCAATAGTGACCAGCTTCGTGAGAGAGTTCTCGTCTTCCTGGTGAGAAGCCGTGACCAGTGGAGCTAGTCCGTGTCGGGCAAAAACCGGTGTCTACCTCAGTACAATGTAAGATGGTCGCGCAATTTCGTGGATTGGTTGAGGTTAGGCATTAACACCATTGGATGCCGGCTCGGTAGGTTGGTAGGTTAAGTGTTTGCGAGAGCAACTGAAGGCCCTGAGTTCGAATCCTGCGAGCGGGATCGTAGATGCGCACTGCTAAGGAGTCCCACAACGGGATGAAACGGCCGTCCAGTGCTTCCAGTTTTTCAATGGTGGTCTAACATCAATCGGCTCATGATCTCAATCAAAAACTTAACCATCACCACAAACCCTAAACTGATAAATTTAGATTTCTTGGATAGTTCATAATATTTAGGCCACTCAGCTGGAATGAGGTGGCAACATTTTTGTTACATCCATTTTTTTTCAGTTTAAATATAATGATTATTATCATTAGATCAATAGATATTTCACTGATTACTTCTTTACTTATGGAAAGGTACCAAGAAATACTCGAATTTTGTGAGAGGAAAAAAATAACATTGACTTCAATAAATTTATATCGTAGGAACCGAAAAATACGACGAAAGAAACAATAAAATTTCCATTATGACACAATATTTATACAATGTTATCACATGTTGGTATAGTTAATAGATTTGAGATATTTATGAAGCCGTTAATTGTCTTGAACGAATATGTTAAATAAGTTTATTATAAGGGTCAAACTTATAACTATTCTTTCTTTTCAAAATCAAATCGTTGAATAATGAACATCTTACCACATGATGTGTTTATAATTGACAATGTTCGATCTTCTAACAATCTCTTTTCTCAATTATGTTTCTACTTAATATTTCATATACTAACTATATTGCAGACATTTTTAAATTATTTATTAGATTGTTTCCATTTTCAATATGCCTATTACCTTGTACGCCTTGATGTTTGAAATTAGCTTATGAATCATAAATTACTAGTTCAACAAATACTCTAGAATTTGTAATACTGTAATCTTTGTTATCGTCATCTAATTATAATTAATTCAGTTAACAATTGTAACGGTTGTTCGAATAACTCAGTGGTCATGTCTTCAACGATGATGCTGGTTAATAAGGGACAGAATTCAATCGGTAACATTATTCTGCACAAGATTGCGGGCATACCTTTCTGATTAGCGCCGATTATCACAAAACCCATATCTGAGGTTCCCTATCAAAAATATTATCAGCCACTGTAATTCTAAAAATGGTGCATTCAGTGCTGAGTCCTTTAAAATAGTGGTCATATTTTAAATTAGTCGAGAAAAAACGATCAGCACTGAAGAACTGGGTAAACATAACATCGGTCATCACTCAATTACCGGTTAGTTATATAGAGAGTTTTAAAACTATGGTTGAAAGCTAATTGAAATAAACTTGATCATCGCTAAAGTTCTTTTCTTCGAATTTTAAAATAACAAATTTATACTCCTGAAAATAAATATAACACGATTTCAGAACTGCATTTTAATTAGATGAACTGTTTAACTGGGATAAAGCATAAAAGTAGAAAACTAATTCTGAATAAACATGATTAATTATTAGGATTTGTTTTGTTAACATATTTATGGGAACCAGTCACACTTTGGTTTTTTTCTCATCAACGGCAAGTCTATAGTTTATGGACGACTTTTGAGAGACACTAAACTGACCTTCAGAATGTCTACCTATAGATAGGAGTAAATGACGATGATAAACCGGTGTGAGGTATGACAATTATGGTTTGAAGTTGATGGATAAGATTAGAAATTAGATTTAAGGTTTTCATCACGAACTAACATCAGCTATAATCCCGAAACGCTATTTAACCAAACGGATGAAAGAATTCCGCGCCAAAGTCCAAGACCAATATTATCCTAAAGTTGATTGGTTCATTCATAAGTTTTTTATCCTATATTAAAATATCTGTTCAATGTTCTTTTATTTTTATTGATTCTTAAAATGGTCTTACATTATTCTATGAAACTTAACGTATACAACTAATAAAACAAGTTTGATTTTACGACGGAAATATTTATCTATTTAAAGCAATTATTCCCTTTTTATAAATTTCAATAGAACAATGAGAAGATGGAGTTGATCTGAAAAATGTGATGCATTTGGATTTAACAATGTACCTGCTAACCTTTAAGTCATTCTATGGCTTAGAATAAAGCGACAATTTCTTATTCATTCTATACGATCTAAACACTATTTCTCTCCCCTTTGTTACCTTTTTACTGGAACTTTCATTTAATTGACCTTTATTAATTTTTATATAAAATGTCTTGACAACTATATATGTGACCAGATTGTTCGAAATGTATAACGTAAATACATCACATCTTTTCAGGTCAATTTCGTCTTCTCATTGTTCTATTGATATTTGAATACAGTTACATGAGTAATTTTTAATTATAAAAAAAGGAACATGTTACGCATGCTGTCTTTAATTATTTTCTTTTTTTACTTTTCTTAGCATTCATCTTCATTCTAATTCTTTGTTTTCTGAATCATATTTCATTGAATGATTGACTTATATTCTCGTTATTTGATGAACTAGTAATAATAAATTTTGTTGTCCATTCGTTTTGTTTGTGTTTTATTATCATTTTTTGTTACTGAACATTTAATGATTTAACGATAGACGTTCTCCTGATAATATTTATCGGAATTTACTTATTTATTGTGATAGAATCAATAATTTCAATGATTAAGATCATGAGTCAGTTGAAGCTAGACCACCATGGAAAACCTAGAAGCACTGGACGGCCGTTTCGTCCTATTGTAAAACTCATCAACAGTGCGCATACACGATCTCGCTCCCTGCGAGATTCAAACCCGGGACCTACTGGTTTCGCACGTGAGCACTTAACCACTAGACCACTGAGCCGGCATCCAACAGTGTTAATGTCTAACTTCAACTAACCCACGGAATTGAGCGACACATCCACGATTGTCTTCAGTGAGTTACTATCTCACAATAGACCTGGTTGAACTCCACTGATCACTACTTCTCACTAGAACTTCAGGACATATCTCTTGAAGCCAGTCACTAGTCAGCACTAGCTTAAACTGACTCATGATCTTAACCTCTGAAATTACTACAATATCCAAAAAGCCCATCTGATATAATCAATATTTAGAAATTTTTGTTTTTATGATCTGCTTTTAATTAATGCAACAAAAACTATGGCAATTAATAACAATAATATTAGTAATAATAATATTAATACACCAATATAAATAAGATGTAGTGAACAAGAACACCAGTGGGGATAATAGAATGTATTTGGCACGAAATTGCAGAGCATCTCAATAAAATATGGGAAGCATACAGTAAATCGTTAATTTGCAAAATATCAATCTATCATCTCAAACTTGACTGTTCCTGTTGCAACCATCACTCCATTGTCTTAGATTTTATTGTTCATGCATTTTCATACCAATTGCATTCCGTTCCTGTTCTTTCCTCATCGACCTTCTACTGAAATATATATCCTATGCCTGACCACCGTTATATATTACATATATGGATATAAGTAACCCACACCACAAGATATTTCCCTTTAAGTATCTGTGATATTGATCACTAACAATGATTATTTAATTAATTTGTAGTCTTAGTCCGTTTTCAATTAATCACTCTAAATTTCTTACATATTTACATTTTATAAGCTAAGAATCAAAGTAATGTAAGTCTAAAAGTGATTAGTCAGAGACAGTTGCTTTACTAAAATGTCCAACCACAATCAAATGGATTCAAGTCGTTTAAGAGGGTGCTTAGTTTTTAGATTTTCTATATTTAACACCAGATACAATAACTATTACTACTTTCTTTTAATTCATCAATAGAGAAATGTTCTAATTATTAAACATATTTATATTCATTGAGTTAATTTGGTTAATGTCAGTGATACTTTTGTTATTTAGTATTCTTATTTTTCTTTATTATTAAATAGATATCCACAAACAGTATTGAGTACATGTAAATAGAAGATGATATATACCCAACTTATGTTTTAAGTTAAATGTTTATCAGAGTAGTATAACTATAAGACAGTTACACTTCACATGTGTTCACATGATATATATATATATATATATATGCATAAAAATGTTCATCGGAAACTGAAACCTATAAAACGCAACATGTATAACATTTCATGTTTATAGGTTTATATCTCAAGTCTTTATTTTCATTATTAAGTAAATGAACCTACGAAATAAATTATGAAATAAAAGATGAAATAATTCGGTAAATGAGTTAATTTGCAAAACAATAACATATGTTACCCATTTATGTTAAGATAATTTCCCATTGTAAGAAAAAAATTTAATTACTAAAAGAACGAAATGGAAGAAATTGTTGTTATCGAAATATTAAAACAGAATATACTGTGTAATTGTAATGATGCATCAAGACGCAATTTGAATTTGAATTCACTTATATTGGCTGTTTGCATCTTGTTATTGATGTTTAGGGTGGTAATAGATCTGTCTCTTATAGAAATGTGGTCGTGCTGTGCGGATCCCCTCCATATTACCTAAAGTCACAAGTATTATGAGCATAGATGATGGCGGATAGCAGTGGAATTCAGGATGTGCGTCTCGTTTTATTTGGGACTCGTCAGTTAGGTGTGCCTGGATCCGAGTTGATGTTCACTCAGGCACTCGAACCCAGTAAGATCGCTTCAAATGTCATCTCGCTACCTGCCTAGCTACTGAGTCCTAATAGCTACTAGCTTGAGCAATGGGGTAAACTTTAATTCATTTTTGTATTGGTTGTTTAAATTTCCCCATTGGTATTTATCACTGAATTTCCACAAGCCACTGACTCTCTGAACTCAACAGCTAAATGAACAACGCGTTCTTAGTTAAATGAATGAAGTTCGAGTCCCGTGGTTAACACCAAATCTATGATGCAGGTCGATCCAGATGATTAGTCCTATATAGAGCTAAATGTACTTTCTGAATTTTGCCGTTAACAATCATCCAACTGTACTTAAAATGTAATTTGAATATTGATTTCGATTATTATTATTGATATTATTATGATTATTAGTGTCATCGTTATTTGTTGGAATTCGCCAAACTATTATTAATAGCAGACATGAATCTTAATTATCAGAGATAGATTCTGTGAAAATCACTATGAAATTAAAAAGGAATATTCACATTCATTCAATATAATTGATTATTGACATTAGTAACTGTTGTCATTGTTGAAAGTTACAACATTTCTGTTGTTGGTTGACAGTAACAATTGAATGACAGTATCTACACTTTCGATATTACTATGACTTTATTTATAATAATCGTGATAAACTACTTTAGCTTTGATGTCCTTTTCAGTAATTGAATTACACAAACATGTCAATAATTTCAATTGTAATGCGAACCTTAGTAATATGAAGTGAGTTTGAAATGAAACTATATAACTGATAGCCAAACTTTTATCATATAATATAAATATGGTCAGACAATCTACTTATTAAACTCCGTTTCGTTTGTTCATTTTAATTTATTTTAAATAAATAAATAGAAAATACACAAAACTTAACAACAACATTATGGGTCAGTTATGAAGATGTAAGTTGAAAAATTAGAAAAATCCATTAGTCAAAATTGTTTATTCCTGTAATTTAGTTAAGTATGTTGTCATTTGTATTATAGTGAGTACATCAATAGCCGAAGACTGTTTGAGTCACGTGAGAACATGTAGTTTATACAGAAGTAATTTCAAAGTTTTCATAACAATCAAAAATAACTTTCAATTTAGAAAAAAATACATTAAAATGTAAGACAGTAAGGCAAATATTTAAGTCGATGAAAAACTAAGTGATGAAGCAAATTATGAATTTAATCCATACAGATATTTCAGCGATTAATATTTCAATTCACTTGGTGTTGTTTTACTTGTATCTTTACATTGTTATTTAGGACTACATTTGAACAGTCTCATGTTGGCATCTTATGCGAATGGCCTCGATATAACCTTAAGTCACAAGTTTTTGAAGAAAAAATGGAGAGTGGCTAGCACTTGAATACGGGATGTGTGTTTTGTCCTATTTGGGACTCGTCAGCTGGATGTACCTGCACTACAGAGTTAATATTCACTCCAGGACTCAAACCCAGTACCGTTCGCTTCAAACGTCATCGCGTTATTCACGCGAGACTGATCAATTGCAGTCCGAATTAACAATGAGAAGATACAAGTAAAACATCACTGAGTGGATTTAAACTTCATCCCATTGCACAAGCAGGTAGCTATCAGGACTCAGTCCCGGACTGAACATTAACTCTGCGATACGGGTGTATCCAGCTGATGAGTCCCAAATAGGACGAAACGCGCGTCCTGGATTTCACTGCTAGCCAGTGCCCATCTTTGACTAATATTTCAGTTTATCATCATCTAAACCATAGATTACATATATATTTAATAATTTTTTTTGTAAATTCACTATGTCATGTATAGCAAATAAAATAGATTAAGTGTAGACACAACAATGAAGCTTATATTACTATAGTGAACACAAGTAGGGACAACCAAATATATTTGAATACAAAATTATAGAACATCTTAATAAAATCTGAGAACCATACAGTAAACACTTCATTTGCAAAATGTCAATCAACCCTCTCAGACTTCGTTGTTTTTACATTTCCACACCAATCATTCTCTTCTCTTAGGTCTTCTTAACCTTCTGCCTCCAAGCACTTTACTTTCGATCGATGATACATACTACTCAAATCTGTCAACATCAGTAGCACACGCCACATTGTTACTTTCATTAAAGATAAAATTCGTTGTCATTTGTTTTCCTTAGACATATGATCTTCCTTGTCAACGTATTTCTGTGTAAATAAGTAACCAAAAATGATTTGGATTTTAATATCCTAACTGCAACATCAAAGGCGTAAATATATGAATATTATTAACCTGAAATTCTATTTATTATTGAAAAGATACAATCAAAATTACTTACTCTTTTTGTTTGGTTTTTCTTTCTACATCAATTTTTATGGCTTGTTTAGGTGTTGTTGAATAGCATGATTCCCCAGTGTAAACTTCCTGTATAGTTGATCGATTTGAATGATCATTCATTTGTAAACATTCATTCGTTGACTTAGATGTTTTGATTATTTTTTTTTTAAAGCAAATAAAAGTCGAATGAAATAGAGAATAACAAAACAAGAAATAATTAATGTACTTTACTATCAATAAAATATAAACCTGACGAAATTAGTTTTTCACAATTAATCGGAGGTCGGTCGCGGCTCAAATAGCTCAGTGATAACGTCTCTGACTGTGAAGCTAGGTGACATGAGATTGAATCCGCCAGGGAGCACCAGTTCCATCAGGATTACGGGTACGCCTTGCTGAAGAGTTCCAAGTAGCACGACACCTGGATTCAGGGTTTCCTGTCGACTACCTTCAACCACCATCTAATCAAAATTAGTTTTTACTTGGCTGAATTCAAGTTTACGTAAATAAATTATGAATGATTCTAATTATGATAATAATACAGGCTTGTTGCTGATTGGTTTTGGACTGTATTTTATAAATTTGAAAATGCACTGGAGTTACGTAATGATCACATTTCACTGTAATGAACTCATTTCCTTTCGATGATTTCATTTTTTTTAAAAAAACACTAAACGGTATTTAGTAGTGCATGGCATATATTTAGTTCAACGTTTTGATAGATTTTACCGTAGAAATCAATACACGTTATTTCATTGACATTTGCAGAGGTGGTTTATAGAAACAATCGTAAATAATGATTAAATATAAATAAATTGGAAATAACCTACAAACTAATACTTTTTCTCGTTATTTTCTACAACATCGTATACATAAACGGCCGTCCAGTGCTTCCAGGTTTTCAATGGTGCTCTAACATCAATCGGTTCATGATCTCATTTGAAAACTTATTAAAATCTTCACAATTCCTATACTGATAATTATCATGTGCTCACTAGTGACTAGCTTCGTGAGGGAATTCTCGGAGTTCTAGTGAGAAACCGTGACCAGTCGAGACAGGTATCTATCTCAGTAAAATGGAAGATGGTCGCTCAATCAATATTCCCGTTTTTTAATACAGAAAAGACGTTGGATGATTTAGTCTGTCAAATATATGACCATTCAAGTTTCAACTCTAATGAAATGTTATAAAGCAAAACATGTAACTGAAGTGCCATCACAAGCTTTTGTTTGACATCTGAAGAAGATTGATCTAAAACATTATCCCCTTTTTAGGCAATCGTCTAGACAATATTTTTTGTTAATCTTAAGAAAAACTGGAGCCGACATTCGAACATTATATTATTAAAATGGGGAGAGATTTTTTAAGTTGGAAAAATGTGTTATTGACCATTAAATAACATTTAGGAGGGGGACCGCTTTCCGTATATAGATAAATCATGTTAGAGTTTTTTCTTTTAGTCGCCACCTGTATATTCGAAATATTTTTTCTTTTTCTGAATGAATACCTAGTTAGTTAGGAATTATTTATTGATTAATTGTAGCTAATGAACAGGAAATCAAAATTGTCTAAACAAACACCAGTCGCTAAAAATCTAAGAAAAAAATTAGATATTGTGCAAACACAATATACACTAGAAGAGAAACATTGTAAGCCCAACTCTAATACAGATAGAATATTTGGTATCTTAATAGTTGAGAAAAATCAAAACTCAGATTTTCCTTATAAAATATTCCATAAATTTAAGTTATATATGATATGGCGGTAAGCATCATGGTGTAATCAAATGTTAAGTGAATCTTGTTCATTCTTTATTTTGAGATTCATTTTGTTCTTACCTTAATTGATAAATCGAAATGTTTTATATTGTTATAAAGTGAATTACGACTTGAACTCTTGCTGCTAGATCTGAATTTTGGATCATCCGGTTTTTCAATAGTTGAAGTATGATGAAGTCTTCTTGAAGCTGATTTAACTGATACAAAAGATTCTGATTGAGGTTTCACATAACTCATAGCTTTACGTAATGGATGACGTAAAAATCCTGATCTACTCAATTGTCCAGCATTTGTAACAGTTGCTGTTTCATTAGCAGTCTGTTGAAATGGTGTTGGGGAAGAAGATGACGCTTGCTGATCTTTTGCTTGTTCCGTATGATATGTTTTCCCCATTTTAAAATTGTTTGTTGAAGCATACTGACTTGTGATATTTCTGAAATTTAAAAGTGAATAGGAAAGTAAAACAGTAAATAAGATGATGACACAAATGACTATTTGAATACATATAGGAAAGGAAAGGTTTTTTTACACCTTAGTTGTACCAATTACATAGAATAAGTTGTAAACTTCTTAAAATCTAATTACAAAATATTTCTTTCGTTTCGAATAATGTTTTCCCTTCACTATATATTTTATTCATAAAATAAAATATTCCTTGTCAAGATACAAAGCAGATCTGTATGGATAAACTAAAAAGATTGGTAAACGTTCACTTAGATTTTTACGTTTTTGCTCAAAATCGTCAAATTTAACAGTGAACGGATAAACTATATTTAAACTCTGCTTGTAACAATAAACACGTATGGCTAACTAACAACTTATATTTGGTTTAAGTTCTCCAATGACCAGTGCGTAGTTTGAAGGAACATATTGCCAAGAAGATAATAAGTTGATTACTTTATATTCAGTGGATTTTGAAGTTCTAGAGCTCATTACCTAGTAGCACAACTGACTCTCCATCTTTATTTCCGAATTTTTCAACAATCATAAAAATGAATTCACTTGGTATTGTTTACTTGAATCTTCCCATCGATGTTTATGACTGCGATTGATCAGTCTCTTATTGGCATGTGTGAATACTGTGAGTATTGTCTCGATGTTGCCTTAGTTTACAAGCATTATAGGCAAAGATGGATATTGGCTAGCATCCAGAGTGGACATCAACTCTAAATGAAGGTACACCCATTACACAAGCAGAACTCAATAGTTAGGTGAATAACGCGATGGCGTTTGAAGCGAACGGTACTGGGTTCGAGTCTCGGAGTGAACATCAACTCGGATGCATTTACATCCAACTGACGAGTCCCAAATAGAACGAAACGGAGTTCTGGATTCCACCACTAGCCACTAGCCATCTTTGCTTATAACCATAAAAATGATTTTGTTTGATTTCATATTTAGATTACAGTACACTTTTAATATACATCTATCTTTAAATACATGTTAAATTCAGATACACATTCGTGTATATTCACATTTCACAATAACATTGGCTGCCACTAAAAATGATATATCACTATTGAATAATGACCTTAATTGTATTAAAACTATATTTGAGTGAATAAATTATATTAGATGACAGTATGTCATCATTAACATTTATAAGGCTTGTCATAATGCTAAGATTTCATTCGACCACTGAAACAGTCAAATAATTATTAGAAATTAATTTTTATCATTAAAACTAATCTTAGCAGACATAATTCAGTGTCTTGAAGTATGTTTACAGTTGTAAACTGTAATTTAGTCATCTTCATTTGAGCTAATAATTTACTGAAAATAAACAGTTCAGTGTGATTGATTCAAGTTGACCAAGAAGAAGACTTTCTTTCGTTTTATAAAATAAGGAAAATGAACAAATTAAAATATAGAATTTCATCAAGAACTCAAAAACTCATTAATCAATATAAACTATGGGTATATTAAAGTTAGTTACTCATAATTTTATAGAGAACTATCAATCTTAAGGTGATTATTTATGAAACTTATTATAAAAAGTCCTATCTTACTTGATTCTGTGTTCAGTGTAGAATTAGTATCTAAAAATAGTTTGTTATAATTTTCTACCTCTTAGTGATAACTCAACTTCCTCTCCACCTTTGTAATATGTAACTAAAAAGACTGACGTTAATATTTAACAAGAAGAGTTCACAAACCTTTCCGTTATTTTACAGATGAACATTTCTCCAACTGACCTTAGTCGTTTATCATAAATATATTTATAAACAAATCTCATTTATACAAATCCTTTTTTAAAAATTAAACACAAACATTATAACTGAGTGATGTTAGGTGATTGCAGATATAAAAACGTGAATCTACTTTCCGTAATATTTGACATTCATCAGAATGGCGTACATGTAGTCTTGAAGAAAATGAGCATCCATAACGGACTCTAACTAGCATTCCTTAGACTAGCAGTCAGGTTGAAGCAAACTCTAGTTTAATTATATTGATACTAATCGAGTGTATCATTACTTGAAGTTTCTTAAAAATGTCCTACTCCAATGAATGAGAATACAGGCGAGTACAGTCAAATGCATTTGAATAAAAAAATTATGGGATATCTTAGTCAAATCTGATAACCGTATAGTAAATACTTCATTTGCAAAATGTAAGTCAATTGTCTCAGACTTCACTGTTTCTTCGTTTCCATACCAATTACTCTATGTTCTCGTCCTTTTCTTTTAGATCTTCTTAACCTACTACCGCCAGACATTTCATTTTAGATTGATGATACATACTACATATATCTGTCAACATCAGTAGCAAACACCACATTACCAGTGACTATCAGAGGTTTACTAGCACACAATTTCAATCTTATTGTTTGGATTATATTTTAATGAGTACTTCGATTTGTTAATAGTTTCGTTTAAAACATGAATATTTGATTAGTATCTATTTTATTATTATTGTACATCTTAATTCTTACTATCAGATGTAAATAATTAAAACCGATTATTTACGTTAATACGTTCGAACTGCATTTTTAAGCTAAACGCTGAAACTGTTCAAATGTCAATCAATGGGATCACTTTGAAAAAACATATATACATTATTGTCTTTTACATACTTAGTTTATTAGCCTTTTCAAAATGTGCTTTTAAATTTCGACCAATATTCATATAAACATACTAATGTCGGAGACGTAATTAAAAACTACTTGAAAAAAATCTTTTTCTTGTTTCATCATTTTTTAAAATGTCCAAACAAGAATTTTCCCTTTAATGTAATCATTCAAATGCATTGATCAGTATGTGGTTGAGGAGATTACTAAGCTTTTGATTGAAATCATGAACTGATTGATGTTAGACCACCATTGAAAACGTGGGGGCACTGGACGGCCGTTTCATCCTATGGTGGGACTTCTCAACAGTCCACGCCCATGACCACCTCTGGGGGTTCAAATCCAGGACCTTCGGCCTTGCGCATCAACGCTTAACGTCTAGACCACTTAGTCAGCATCCAATAAGTTTAGTGTCTAACCTCAACCAATCCATGAAATTGCGTGACTATCATTCATTGTACTGAGGAGATACCTGTCTCTACCTGACATGAATTAGCTCCACTGGTCACGGTGCTTCCAGGTTTTCAACGATGGTCTAGCACCAATCGGTTCATAATCTTAATCAGAAGTCAAATATATTTGTTTGAAACATCATATCTTATGTACATAGGTTCTGCTTGTTACATTAAGCGTAATTGCTTGATTTTAATAAGGAATTGCCGTTATCGCATATGCCTTTTTGGAACAACAACAAATAAGTTGAAACTAATAGATTCTATCAACAAATCTTGAAAACTTTAGCATCATTAACGTTTTTCATTTACGGGAATTTTTCGTTTTCACTTAATCAAGCCTCAGAAATTATTAACCATATATGTAAGGAGTTAAAAAGGACTTGAAAAGAACTTAACTAATGTGTTAACATAGACATAGATAAAACGAAAAATTACATTTAACATATAAGATTTCAATTAATCACAACTAAATCCGAAAAACAATTAAACTTTTTTCAAATGAACTGAACACGACCTGAGTTCGTTTATTCTAATTTACAAAGACATAACTAAATTATAATCATATTTCAGCTTATTCGTTTAAAAAGTAAAAAAATAACTGAGTTGAGTGTTTAAAACTTAATGAGACTCCATTTTGACCTTATATAATATAAAAGATTTCGATATGATTAAACAATTTATTTCAGTGATTAGTCAAGAAATCTTAACCCTCGTTTAGTGCTATAATTACTTGTAATTACTTACGTACGCCAGTTACTCCTGGTGGATAAGAACAAGTAGCCCACCAGATTGCTCCATACAACCCTGTTCTGGGCAATCCTTTCCAGTTTTTTCCAGTTGTAATTCATCCTTTTCATATTTGTTTCTAATTCTCAACGTAATGTTTTTCTCGGCCTTCCTTTATTCCGTTTCCCTTCAGGATTCCGAATTGGCGATTGCCTTAGGATGTAATTTGCAGATTTCCGTAATGTACATCTTGTCCACTTCCAACGTTTTTTCCTAATTTCCTCTTCACCAGGAAATTAGTTTTTTCTCTCCCATAATAGGCTATTGCTGATGGTATCCGGTCAACGGACATTTAGTGTCTTGCGTGGAAAACTGTTCATAAATACTTGTGCCTTTTTGATAATGGTTATAGTAGCCCTCCAAGTTTCAGCTCCATACATTAGAACTGTCTCGACGTTCGTATTGAAGATTCTGACGTTGATGTTGGCTGACGGCTGTTTTGAGTTCCATATGTTTTTCAACTTTAAGAGTACGGCCCTTATGATTATTTGTACTTATTTAAAAATCTCTATCATAATAAAACACTAATATATCAACGAAGAGTATTCTTTTCAATTAATTGTCTTCAGGTTATACAATTATATATTTAAATATATAATCTCAAAAAGTAACCGAGTTTAAGATAAAATACATCGTTTAAATTCATTATAAACGAATACAGGATTGCTGAATAAAATAAAATTACATGCAATTAGTTCCCTTTATGAATTTATATATAGCCAGAACAATGTTGTATTGACTAATATATAATGTTAACTTGAATCAGCCTATAAGTTAAATGAAATTATTAGATTAATGATAAGAATAAATGTGGATCAGATAGGATGAGAGAAATTATAGTTCAATTATAAACTCGATCACATGTTTGGTGGAAGACTATATTGTTTATAATTATATAAAATTAATAAGAAATAATAAGGTATGGTGAGTGCTAAGTAGATTGATCATGTATTCGGGGGGAGTTTTAAACCAATAATCATAATATTACTTGTAGTAATATGAAAAATAGAATAACCTAAACCTCCTTTTAGAAAATTATTAATCCGATCATAGTTCACTGATTTTGTTTATAAGAAATCTTTAATGCAATAATAATATCGTAGTTTTGTACCTTTATCATCA